CCTGTGTACCCAAACAGACAGGGAAAGCATTTCAGCACACTACATCATGAAAGGCTGAAAGCAGAGAATGTAAAGGGGAAGAAACCCAACCAAATAGAAACTATGCATTGATTATTTCTGAACAATGGCTCTCTAAATGTAGTTCTTATTTACATCAAATTGGTTGAAGTTATATTGAAAACGTTCTTTTTAAAAGACCAATAAAATGAATTAATTAATAACACCTAATTATTAGCAAATCTAAAAATAATGTTATATTTTCGGATTAAAATATAATGTTTTTTAAAAATCTGAAAATGAATATCCATTTTTATACTGTTATATCTTATAGTGAGCTGCCTAAACTTACTTGTAGGATTTAAAAATGTATTTATTCAAATTATTACATTTTAAAAAAAGATTAGTTCCATCAAAAAAAAGTTAATCTGTAAAACAACTTAATCACACTGTTAAATATAATCTCATAATCTCAATTTCAATTATATAAAGTAAGATTTATATGAATTTATTTCTTATTTACAATAAAACTGGTATAAAGTTCCACCTAAATTAAAAAAATTCAATCAATAAAATTCAATTAATACAAAAGTTAATAGCAAATCTTAAAAGTAATATACATTTTTCATATTGTTCATTATAATGTTGTGATGCCTAAATTCTATTGTAGCATTTGACTTAAATGCTTTACTTTGATTTATTTAGATAACATAGTATGTAATTTAATATAAATTAATGTTATTCAAATATTAATGTTTTGTTTAAAAAAAAAGTCATGTTATAAATGTTTTCATTTTATTATTAAAATAACATTTATAACTATTCAAATAAGTAAAAAAATAAAATAACAAATAGTATTTAAAATGCAAATAAGCCATTTATCAGTTATCATTGTATTAAGCAGAATTTTAATATCCATGCATCCCTAGAAACATCAAACACCATATCTGGGAGAGTGAGCCTATAACTTCATAACTCAAACTCTGACATTGCAATATTTAAAAAAAACTTTGTACAGAAATGCCATCATTACTTTGTCACCGGCCTTGAACGTGGCGTCTAAAATATCTCAAAATACCAGCAAGGTTCACATCAAGCAGAGGTCACTCGAAAAGGTGATGGGCAGAGCTTTTGCTAAGAAAAGCTGCTAAAAAGACTGGCCGTCCTGACTGCTGACATGGATACTTTCTGACACCACAGTGACACACTCCACCATCAACAACATATGTACGGTCAATGGCAGTTGATACAGGCAACTTTTGTGACTTAAGTACAGTGTGCTGACAGTGCAGGTGCTTCGGCCACCTCTGATGTGCAGTGACTGGATTTAGCTCAGGGAACAACCATAGGGCTCTTATTTCTAACACCCAGTCCAAGAGCCAAAAGACTAAATATCAGTTGGCTCCGTTTCTAAATGGGTCAGAGAAGCTACTGTACCTAACGCCATCTCAATTTGAGTTCACTGACAAACAGGTTATGCCAGCTTTTACCTTATTTCCAAGCCCTGTCTGAAGATGCCAAATAGATGTAACAGGCCATGCAAGCCAACTGTGGCCTGTCAAAAGTAATTTACTCAACTTCAATTCTTTGCGCTTAAAAGGATGTGGAGGACAAATCTGCTATTTAAAAAACCTGCTTGTATTAATAGAGACTTGGTTATCAAAAAAAGGTTGTTATATTAATACTTGAATCCAAATGTGTAAACTTCTGCTTCACTAAATAAGGAGAAAAGGAGGTAAGAGAACAGGTGCATGTGCAAATCAACAAGTTCACATCACCTGCAAAACACGTTCACCAGCTTTTCTTTCCAGACTGTTGTTTGAGACGTAAAACAGTTTGACCCGTCACCTGACATATTATGAACACCCAAACAAGATCTCACACACTAGAGGTATAATTCCAGTTAAAGTCCTTAATTTGAATTGAATTGAGGTACAAACAAGATGCAGAATTGTACTGAATGTAGGGATGTAATGAAAATTAATTGCAATTCATATCACTGCCATTTTAACAAGAAAAGCTAAAGGTTTGACAAAACCTTGTTTGAAATTTTTGAAAAGGTCAAAAGCCTTAAAGGAAGATAGACAAAAAGAACGATATAATAATCAATAGATAGAAAGACTGATCAAATGATAGCTACATAGTCAGATAAAATGGCACAGACAGACAGACAGACAGACAGACAGACAGACAGAGATATGCTAAATTGTGATAAAAAGCATACAGGACTTCACTGATTTAAAACACTTCATTGATCTGCTATCGGATCAGGATAAATCCATAAAGAAAGTGGTTTTGAGTCTCTGAACTCTGCTAAGTAAAGGAGAACTGCCTGTGACCATCACACACTGTGTTTAGTCTTTCAGAGAGTGGAGCTTCAGCACTAAACCAACATGCAAGTGAGCCAAAAATATCTTGCCTAAATTTGGTAGGATCAAAAAACCTTGCTGCTAAACATGTTGTTCTGTTTTTACTTAGGTCAAGAAACCTATATATGGTAAAACAAAGAAACAGATTGGCATCCCTACCACAAATACAGCTTTCAGTCAATATCTATTAACATTAATGAGCTCAACTAATCCAGCCTGCAATAACAAAAGCTAATGCACTCATTAAGCAGGCCAAACAGGTCTTTACCATGGCACAGGGCCTTTACATCTTGTGAGCTCCTGTTAAGAACTATTGTGAGTCAGGAATTGCCCCACCTGAACCCGTCTCATCATGTGACTTCAGGAACCAAGCTGTCAAGCCTAAGAGAACATCCTGTCCAGCTATTTACACATCATAAAAATATAATTTTTTCATTAGAAGATTATAACATTACTGTAAATCTAATGAGCCGTAGCATCTGGTCTATTTTACAGGATTTCCAGGTAAAACATTAATATGTTGCTGCATAAAGACTTTAGGGAGAAGAATGCCAAGAATAACATTAAAAAAATATTTTATATATGCATAATTAGCAACATTAAATCATAACTTTAGTCCTTTTGAAAATATGCACAATGTAATGCACAAACGACATAGTACCTGACAATTTTTTTTTTTTAAATGGGCCCAAAACATATTTGGACAATTAGGCTACACTTAAAAACATATGATTGTCATTACATTATATAATAAAAAACAAGTCGTATTTATTATAAAGAAATATAGTGCACAAATGTTTCACAAAAATTAATTTGATATGTTTTCAATGATCAAACAATAGATATACTGATCAAAATTAAAAAGGTACAAGTAAAGGTTTCAAAATGAAAGGTTTCAGAAACAGTTTCAAAATGTTAATAATAATAAAATTAGTTCTGAGAAAAGGTTTAGCATCATTCATTTAAAAGTTTCAATTGGTTAGACTTTTTATTTAATGCAATGACATTCAGACACTTTAAGTCACTACATATTTTATGGAGTCATTGTACTTTGTATCATAATAAAACACATTTCCTTTCAGGTGTGAAACCATTCGAATGTAATGACATATGAAACTGGGCTTCATTACATTAGCTTGAGTAAATGCTGTCTTTGACTGTTATTTGGCAAAAATGGGCATGGTGTGTTCAATGAGGTATGTCTCTAACATAAGCCAACAACATTTAATCTTTAAAATAACACTCAAAATGCCTATTTCAACACTCAATATAAAAACAACAAATTACACCGTACATAAATATCACTCAGTGAGCTCCTTAAAGCTAAGAATAACTATGTAGTTTGCCAGAAAGAATTCACGCCAACATTTTACACTTTTAGAAACTTAAGAGGTGTGTGACATCTTCATAAATAAAGTCTGAAGACAACAAGGAGTTTAAGCCTGGGTTTTACAGCAGGTTGGGAATGTGCAAGTTCTTTCTGATAGGCAGCTATGTAGGGGATCCCCTTCATGCACACTTCATACGGAGGCTGAATGAGAGGATTATCCTTCACCTTCCAAATGTTGACTTTGGCAAGTTTTCCGAAATTGTCTGGGAGGATGGCGATTTGGTTACCCTGTAAAACCAGTTCCTCCAATTTCCCTAGCTCTACAATAGAGTCCGGGAGAAATGTTATGCTATTATTGTCCAACCACAAATTAGCAAGACTGCACAGCTCCCCTTTTTTAAAAAAAAAAAAAAAAAAGAAGTGAAGAAACAAAAATTAAAGAGTTTGAGCAATTGCTTTCCATTCAATTTTAGACTAACACATTTAACTACATAGATGGCACATGAAATACACTACTGTTCAAAAGTTTGGGGTCAGTAAAATGTTTATATTTTTGAACAAAGGCTCTTTATGCATACCAAGGCTGCGTTTATTTGATCAATCATATAGTAATAAAAATGTAATTACAGTAAGTGCTGAATAAAAGTGCTGAAATGTGAAATACTATAACAATTTAATTTCTTTATATATATTTTTTTATCTTCTTTTTTAATGCAATTTATTCCTATGATGGCAAAGCTACATTTTAAGCAGTCTTCAGTGTCACATGATGCTGCAGAAATCATTCTAATATACTGCTTTGGTGCTCAAGAAACATTTATCATCAATGCTTATCAGTCTTTGATTAATAGAAAATTCAAAAGCACGGCATTAACTTGAAAAAGAAACTTTTGAAACGTTTGAACAAAGGCTCTTTATGCATACCAAGGCTGCGTTTATTTGATCAATCATATAGTAATAAAAAAGTAATTACAGTAAGTGCTGAATAAAAGTGCTGAAATGTGAAATACTATAACAATTTAATTTCTTTATATATTTTTTTTTATCTTCTTTTTTAATGCAATTTATTCCTATGATGGCAAAGCTACATTTTAAGCAGTCTTCAGTGTCACGTGATGCTGCAGAAATCATTCTAATATACTGCTTTGGTGCTCAAGAAACATTTATCATCAATGCTTATCAGTCTTTGATTAATAGAAAATTCAAAAGCATGGCATTAACTTGAAAAAGAAACTTTTGAAACGGTAATATAATAATGTCTTTAAACAAAAAACCTCAAACCTTTGACTGGTATTATTGAATATATCTTAAATTGTTTTTTAATTCAGTAAGCAGTTCATATATCTTGCCTGTGTGATTCCGGTAAGTTTTACACAAAACTCAGAGAGCTGTGGGTTCACCACTGGCTTTACATACTCCTGAAATGAGTCTACCTGTAATAATAGAAATGGGATTACAAACGAAATAAGAATGAAGAAAAGTATTGTGTGTTCGTGTTCATGGGCTTAACAATCACTGTGGCTTTGTGAAGATCTATCATGATTCATTTTGGCACAAGATAAAATCATTTTTTCACAACTAGCAGATCAATCCTAAAACAGTTCACTAAATACACTGTATGATATCATGTTTGCCTGGCAAGAATCAAGCACACGTGACAGACCGTTCCCTCACCAACTCACAATCTCCAAGGTGTGTGTGTCGATCAACACCATGGGAAACTCAATGATTTCATGCAGGTAGTCAGGTGGGTTATTCTCTTCACATGTTGCTTCATAATCCACCACACAGATGTAGTCAAAATATACATCAATGTTCCCATTTGCAGCAGCTGAATGCATCAGATTTTGCCTTTTGTAGTAACTTTTTAGGCGCTTCTTCAGGACATCCTTAACTCCCCTGAAAAGAAATGGTTGTATGAGTAAATGGCAGGTAAAACAAATGTAAAAAATAAAAACTCTCAGTACCGTGTGTCAAGCTTCAGCTCAGCACATTTTGCACACAGCTGATCTCTGTTCATTCGGTTGATGGTGCCGTTTGCCACTGCGATCTCTTTATATACCGGATCACTGAAATCTCCCTGTTTTGGTGATGAAGGCTCCTGCTTCTCACTTTCTTCACAGGAAGTCTAAATGTGAGAAAAGAAATTGAAACATTGTTTAGTTGTTTAGTGTTGTCTCATCCTTATATGTTGATGCATTTGTTTCTTCATAAGAACAGATTTGGAGAAATGTAGCATTACGTCCTCTGCAGTGAATGGGTGCCGTCAGAATAAGTCTCCAAACAGGTGATAAAAACATCGCAATAATCCACAAGTAATCCACACAACTCCAGTTTGGCCAGAAGCGACGGCCTGAAGTTAAAAACCTCTTAATGATGGATTTGTTTATTACAAACAGCAGCTTTTCACTTCACAAGACATTAAATGATAGACTGGAGTCGTGTGAATTACTTGTGGATTAGTGTGGTGTTTTTATCAGCAGTTTTATTCTGATGGCACCCATCTACTGCAGAGGATCCATTGGTGAGCAACAAGAAACAAACTCATATATATTTTCGATGACCTGAGGGTTAATCCATTTTATTTGGCAAATTTACATTTTGGGTGAACTATTCCTCAACAGTTAAAAGCAACTAAATAATACATATTTGTGCTAAATATGAGTTAAAACAACACCTAACATAAGCTGACACACTGAAATTTAACACAGCAATCATATATGTGGGAGAAATATTTCCTCACAGCTTGTTAAAATCACACAATAAGGTCACTAATTACTGACAACATTTCTAACTAATTTAGTAATTTACCAAAAAAGTATTTGACCTGTACTATAAATTATGGTGATGGAAACCCCCACAAAAATAGAATAAAATATTATGCATAAAAAAGAATGGCTGCCTTTCATTACTTAGCCAGAGCAATACTCATAAACATTACTGTCAATAATATTACGTGTTACCGACAGTCACTAAAACTAGACTGTCAGTGTTATGTTTAGACACTCACATTAGCGCAGCATTGCTCCTCTTTATCCTCCTCAGACGCTGAAGTCTTATTTGCAGGTTGAATGCTCTTCTTCTGCGACTCCATCAGTTTTGACAATTGAGGTAATTTCACAATCTGGTTTCGCGCGTTTATGCTAGGTGTCTCTCATGTAATCCGCCCCTGTCGAATTATTACAAACCTAAGTGATTGTCTATATATCTCAAGTTTCATTTTTTGTACATTGTACTTAAAGTTAGCCCCTGTATGCAAAGAATTAAACTTCTGATTAGCTACAGCTTCTTAAACGTGAGCCAGCCAAGGAACACACGCTGACCTGACGTTCTAAGTCCACAGGAAGTCGTCATTGCAAAGGTCGAACAATTGTAGAATAAAAGCCCCATACTATTTATTTATTTACTTATTTTTGTTACAACAGTTTATTCATGGTTAAATCGTTTACGTACTCGTTATTAAAGAAAAATAAAAGCCCCCTTCAGAGAATTCCAAAATAAACATTTTCTCAAAGTGCGTAATTTGTGTGCATTCTCCTATCTGAGGTTAATATGCAGACAACTAAGACGAGTAGTATTAACACTTGCAATATTATCTATCTATCTCTCTCTCTGTATATACATATAATTTTTCCTAGGTAATGCTAGTTTATTTATTTATTTACTTATTTTTGTTACAACAGTTTATTCATGGTTATATCGTTTACGTACTCGTTATTAAAGAAAAATAAAAGCCCCCTTCAGAGAATTCCAAAATAAACATTTTCTCAAAGTGCGTAATTTGTGTGCATTCTCCTATCTGAGGTTAATATGCAGACAATTAAGACGAGTAGTATTAACACTTGCAATATTATCTATCTATCTCTCTCTCTGTATATACATATAATTTTTCCTAGGTAATGCTAGTTTAAAAAAAAAAAAAAAAAAGTGTATTAATTTTGGCATCCAAACGTGACAAATTCAAACATTTAAACAGTGTTGACATGACACTATAGGTCATGACAAACATGTCTTACCACAACGTTCCCTGTTGAAAAAAAACAGCATATGCTGGTTAGGTATGTTTTGACGCTGGGATGCTGGTTTAAGATGGTCCTTTTGCTGGTTTATGCTGGTCCTTTTGCTGGTTTAAGCTGGTCCTTTTGCTGGTTTAAGCTGGTCCTTTTGCTGGTTTAAGCTGGTCCTTTTGCTGGTTTAAGCTGGTCCTTTTGCTGGTTTAAGCTGGTCCTTTTGCTGGTTTAAGCTGGTCCTTTTGCTGGTTTAAGCTGGTCCTTTTGCTGGTTTAAGCTGGTCCTTTTGCTGGTTTAAGCTGGTCCTTTTGCTGGTTTAAGCTGGTCCTTTTGCTGGTTTAAGCTGGTCCTTTTGCTGGTTTAAGCTGGTCCTTTTGCTGGTTTAAGCTGGTCCTTTTGCTGGTTTAAGCTAGTCCTTTGCCAGCACATGACCAGCATAAACCAGCTTAAACCAGCAAAGGACCAGCAAAGGACCAGCTTAAACCAGCAAAAGGACCAGCTTAAACCAGCATCAAAACATACCTAACTAGCATATGCTGGTTTTTTCAACAGGGTTACGTTGTCTTTATGTTGTACTTCTACAGAGAGGATAAGTCAGATAAGTATTTTTTGCTCCAATACTTTATTTGAAGTTTCAATGACTATGAACATTTAAAACATTGCATTAAATTGCAAATAATGAACATACCTAATACCATTGAGATAACTTTTTTTTTTACAATGTCTTTAAAGTGGTTCTGGCAAACCTGTATTCACACTCAAACAATGCAATTTAAAATGGGTGACAAGAAATGAAACAACAAATTAAAGTGCATACATTACCTTGAACAAATGGAACACATTACATATTAACTTACATCACTAATATCATAATCCTTTTGTGCAGTCAATCATAGTGAGAATCAGTCATAGTCAATTAAAATACAGAAATGTAAATACTTTTAGAGTTTTACATTAAAATGAGCTGTTCAGGAAAGAACAAAAACATGAAATAATTTGCATACATATATCCAGTTCAACTCTGGTCTCACATCTTTTGGGAAAAACACCGATTTCTTTTTGGGCCATTCTGTCTTTGCTCTTAATGTTTTTCAGATCAAAACCATTTGTTGCTCTCAAGAAAGAAGTTCATTTCAACTGAAATGTTATGATCATGATTTACAGTTTAGCATATACTGGTCTGCAGATTTATCTAGACTTAATTAACACTATCATTTTATAAAGGTCCACGCAAACCCAAAATCAACCTCGAGAACTTTCACACAACCCTGCACAGAAACTAGCATCAATGCATTTGACAGGCACTGGAAAACAAACAAATTTACCCTCATAATTACATTCGTATAGCACCATGAACAGTATTTTTAAAAACATAACATCCTATTACACAATATAATCCAATATTATTGACAATAAACATCTCAAGTGTCCATATGGCTTCACAGTCCAACAGGTCCTTGGTCAAAGAACAACGTCAAAGTTGCTGTGTTTTTTAAAGAGGCATTTATCACAATGTTTGATGGATATGTATGCAAGGATAAACTACCCCAAAAGCAGATTCTCAGTAATACGGACCAATGTCTTCATATCCAGCATAGCTTGGCCAATTGGGAAAGATTCCACGAGAGCATCTGGGGCTGCCGTATCGGTCAAAATGAACATCCCAATCACACACACCATATCGCTGATGGTCACCGATCAAGTCATTTGAATTCTTCTTTAGTGCTGATTGAACGATTCTGTAATTCTGTCCTTGGTTGTTATCCCAGAGCATTACGTCATTGACCTCATAGCAAATGGCAAACTCAATGCGTTCATGTGGCGGCACCTGATCAGGCAAAGTAGCCTCGAATGAAAAGGTATCACGGTTTGAGCCGGTGTAAGTGTCCTTTACGTACTGGCATTCTATGTCTGTGTGACTTTTCCAAGTGTTAAACGTAATGCGAAGCTTAACGGCCTTCTCAAAGGAAAGGTTTTTGACTTTGACCGTGCCTGCTATAGATTTTTCCTTAAGCATGCAGTGTTCGAGGCAGATGTTTTCATTTTCTATACGTTGACGAAACTTTAAGTAATCTGCAGACGGCTGGTCAAAGTCGAGGGTTAACCTGTCCTTCCCTTCTGGCAGTGTCAGTGAAGAGCTAAAAAACTGCACGATATTGGTTGGGACATCAATGGGATCATCAAATTCAGAAAAGGTCTTCACCATTGTCAGGGCGAGGCCCTTGTGATCAGCAAAAGATACTCGTTTTTTGGCCCAGCCAGGTATCTCCATGGGTGCGCTGGCCCCATGTGACCCTGACTGCTCCCTAGGAGAGCCAAAACTAAGTTTGGTACTTTGGTACTGGTGTAGACATGGCCGCAAGGGCCTGCTGTATTTAGACAACCTTGGGTTCAGGAACTCTTCATTTGTCAGATAAATCGGCATGGCGAGTTCAATTGGCATGGTGGGTTCGTTGGGACGGCAGCCACGTGCACTGAAAATGCAGACATGTATATCAATAACCACATTAATACAGTTAGAAAGGTCTGTGAATGTTGGTTTAAAGCTGATGAAATCTTCCCATATTTGACTAATTCAAATTTCACACTTGTACTTTAACATAGCACAGCATGAAACCCTTAACATATACTCCGCATAAAATAATTAAATCATTATGCACAGCAAACAGGGCTTAATATAGACTGAGAATCAAATAATTAAACATTACGCAAAAGATTGCAGCAAGTGGGTCAAACAAGTTCATCTTAGCTGGAGGCCAGAGTGGGGATATGGAGAAGCATATGGAGAACCAAAGAGACTGAACTACAAAAGATATTGAACACCCTCTAGTGTTCATAATTTGTAAAATATTTCATTCAAAATGTTTTAAAAGACAAAGAACTTGATAATCTGATGAAATACAATCTAAGAGTCACTAAAAAGGGAAAATTTGTTTAGAAAAGACCTTAATTTTTTAGACTGCCGAGTATTGTAACACGGGGTGAGCTGTTACACTAGCAGTTTAACCCAAGGATCTTAAACTCAGTTCCTGTAGGGCCACAGCACTGCAGAGTTTAGCTCCAGCTCTAATTAAACACACCTGAACCAGCAAAACCAATGTCGGGTTTACCTTAAACCCTGATCAAACTCACCTACCGGTGGTGATCCTGAAGACCTTGATTAGCTTGCTCATGAGTGATTGATCAGGGCTGAAGCTAAACTACGCAGGCCATTGGCCCTCCAGGGCAAGATCTGAGCAACTCTAGAGTAGATGATGCAAGACTGTTTAATAATTATTGGTTTACAGGAAAAAAAATTTTTTTACATATAACATCTCATCTACATGAAAATCTGCTAGAAATGTCATGGCTGAGGAGATATGGAGGGTTGACACTATTTTACAGTGTACTTCTATTGGTCCCATATATAGATTGTAGCATACAGGCCTATATATGCCACAATAATTAGAATAACTAACCCATACACAGGTATGTTTTATTATTTGAGAGTTTGTTTAGTCTATTTCTGTATTTGTTTCTAAATGTCCATTCAATGTTATACTATTTAAATATATTTTAACACTACATTCTGTAATTACCACAATAAGCTCATGCACACAATTTAAAACGTCCAGAAGTGGGTTGGTTGTAACAGCACTCGTTGTAATTTGACATTAATCTACACAATGTAAAGCAATACGTTTCAAAACAACTTTAATTTGTATTAGGCAAATATGGGAATATCATTTCAAAAAGTCTGAGACAAATATTGCTTTAAAAAAATCGTGTTCCAACACTCATCTACTAGCTTTTATAACGTTACATATAAAGTCAGGAACAAGGAAACATTGTTCCGGTCTGCCTGGGTAAAGCGAGAGATAGATTTTCTTTAGATTAAACCAGAAAATGGCGAGTTGAAATAATAGGCAATGGCAATCAGCTTTAGAATCAAATAGTTTTGCACCTGTTGGAGCTCATTTGCAGTTGCAAATTTCGCCCTGGTCCAACATACCATCACACTGCTGCCTTTGTTTCTGATCAACCCCTCCTCTCTTAATCGTTGATTTGTTTGTTTTTATCCCAATGTTATGCAAGATTGCTTTCCTTTTCCATGTCTATTAAAAGCTTTAAGCCTAATATCATCTGTTGCTCTGCATCATGCTCTTCCTGGTTTGTAGCCGTTTCCTTGAGCACGACCGTGTTTAATAAAAGTTTCCTCCCTCCCTTAGATAAAAAAAAAAAAAAAAACAACGCTGCGTGCTGGAACACAAATCAACTCAGTGCGTGAATTTGTAGTTCTTCGTTTGCGCTTTAAAATTGAGAGCATAAGTGAATGCATACCTGTGTTACGGCATTTGAACTGGTTCAAACCTCTTCAGCAAGCCCAGTGTTTTGTGTTAATGAATGCAGCTTCAGCTCACTAGAGTAATACGCTCGTGCTGATGTGTGTCCTGCGGCCCTTAGAAAAAAAAAAAAAAAAAACAACGCTGCGTGCTGGAACACGAATCAACTCAGTGCGTGAATTTGTAGTTCTTCTTACTTGATTGTAAATTGAGAGCATAAGTGAATGCATACCTGTGTTACGGCATTTGAACTGGTTCAAACCTCTTCAGCAAGCCCAGTGTTTTGTGTTAATGAATGCAGCTTCAGCTCACTAGAGTAATACGCTCGTGCTGATGTGTGTCCTGCGGCATGTGCGAGCCTCCTAGCTGTACCGGCCCTGCCAGCCCCAAAACTACATTTTTGCCGACGATCAGCCCGTGTTCACGTGAACTACCTGTTTGGACCAATCAATGCAGGCTACAGGGGCATGCATGCACCCATGGTGATCAATGGCTTGTCACGTGACTCCTAGGACTGGGGGGTCAGTAGGCCACATCTGGAGGTCCCACTGTGTTTTAAAAATATCCACCACTTTTCCTCCCATAAACATGAACCCACTAACTTCTGCATGCTTTCACATTGACCAGTGTAGATTTTTTTTTTCTGTTCAGTGCATTATTCATAATAAGATAATTGTGTATCTGTGTTCAATTTTGTGCATTGAAGCTGAAAATGCAAAGGAAAGTTGTTAAGCACTGTTGTCTCGGGAACAGGCTCTCATGACACCCATGGTTGTTGTCAAGTTGTTTCTTGTGACCTTTTATCACACTTTTTTTTAATTGCAATTCTATATCTATACGTTTATATCTCAGTTTTTTTCTCACAATTCTGAGGGGGGGAAAAAGTCAAATTGCATGATATAAATTTGCAGTTGCGAGAAAAATGTAAGATACAAATGTATTTTTATTTTTTATTCTGAGTCAGAATTCTGAAAAAAAGTATGAATGCGGCAATTTATACTTTTTGTAACCATTTATATCCAAGCCCAGTGTTTTGTGTTAATGAATGCAGCTTCAGCTCACTAGAGTAATACGCTCGTGCTGATGTGTGTCCTGCGGCATGTGCGAGCCTCCTAGCTGTACCGGCCCTGCCAGCCCCAAAACTACATTTTTGCCGACGATCAGCCCGTGTTCACGTGAACTACCTGTTTGGACCAATCAATGCAGGCTACAGGGGCATGCATGCACCCATGGTGATCAATGGCTTGTCACGTGACTCCTAGGACTGGGGGGTCAGTAGGCCACATCTGGAGGTCCCACTGTGTTTTAAAAATATCCACCACTTTTCCTCCCATAAACATGAACCCACTAACTTCTGCATGCTTTCACATTGACCAGTGTAGATTTTTTTTTTCTGTTCAGTGCATTATTCATAATAAGATAATTGTGTATCTGTGTTCAATTTTGTGCATTGAAGCTGAAAATGCAAAGGAAAGTTGTTAAGCACTGTTGTCTCGGGAACAGGCTCTCATGACACCCATGGTTGTTGTCAAGTTGTTTCTTGTGACCTTTTATCACACTTTTTTTTAATTGCAATTCTATATCTATACGTTTATATCTCAGTTTTTTTCTCACAATTCTGAGGGGGGAAAAAAGTCAAATTGCATGATATAAATTTGCAGTTGCGAGAAAAATGTAAGATACAAATGTATTTTTATTTTTTATTCTGAGTCAGAATTCTGAAAAAAAGTATGAATGCGGCAATTTATACTTTTTGTAACCATTTATATAAATTTGAATGTATACATTTAAATTCAGATTATTTCTTAGCGTTTAATATTTTTTATATGTGTTTGATCATAATGGGATTGGGATGGGATTATATCACATAAAAATCGAACACAAAAGCCTGAATACTGAATTGCAGAAATGTACAAAATATTATTAAGAGTTGATTTGAATTATTTTATTTCAATTATTAAGAGTTTTAAAAAGGCATGGTTTTTTTTAATGAACGAATACATGATATTTTATACTCTCAGCTCAAAAGAATCTCATTCATCATATAGGAGTCAGAATTATACTCAGTTTCATCGTGGAGACATTGGGAGACTGCAGTATACCTGATCCTACTGCTGCCACAAGTGATGCACAGATGGTGTGGAAAATCCATAGATAAATCCAGATACAGGACACCCAACATTGAAACATTATAGGGCCAAAAAACAGCCACAATCAGCAGAAAAGGAGAAGCTGTTTTAGGCGCATGAGTTGTGAAATAGTGAACTAAAACAGACTGTAGAAAAGGTTATCAGGAAAACAGCTGTTCAGGCTTGTTCATTCTGAATCAGCAAGACGACTGCATATAAGGTGACAAGAAGAGGTCAAATGGAGTCATGCTGACACTGATTTGAATGATAATAATTGGAAGTATTGTGCTTGGAAAAGTATTTTCAGACAGGTTTACAGCACTGAATGCTTAAATGACAGCTGATGTGACACCTATGCAGGCACATCAGTATATGTATAGTGGCAGCGAGGGGTCATTTGTGAACCTCTGTGATTGACACTGCAGGGTGTCAAAACTCATAATGGAACTGCTGTAGAACTTCCAGAGCATATGATCCCTTCCTGTATATATATTTAAAACAACATTTCCTCCCAAGAAATGATTAGCATAACAAATTAAGGTAAAATCGCATATTCTCTGAGTAGATACTTTTACTGGATAAGTAATTACTTCACAACTGTTAAAAAAGCATGCTCTGTGTATGAATAGTAGTATGACGCAGATCAGATGTATTACATTCAGCATATTGACATTGTCGTGTGACCTACCAGTGTAAGTTGCATCGCTGTCATTCACAAGTCCACTTCTGTGGCCTTGTGGGATAGAAAAGTGTCTATTATTGGATGTGAACTTAAGAATCTCATCAGAAGAAGAATGTCATCTGGGTACTTTTTGCCTACTGTTTTATGAATACTGTGAATTCTGGCATTCTACTCTTTTCACATACTGTTTGTCACCTACAGTACGTAGCTAATGTCTTTGCTTCTTTATTTTTCAAAACCCTAAACGTTCTGATAATTTTCAGGTTTAAATTAGATTTTGAAACTCAGATTTTCAATTAGGTCCAGGATGTGGATATAGATATTTTGACAATATATTACACTTTAGTACTCTTGAACGTGAGGAGAAAATCAAATAGCTTTGTAAACAGTAACGTTGGACTGTCAGTGAGATAAGAGTTCCATGATTCTCACACAAATATTGTTATAATGTAACAGGCATCAAACAAGCAGAACCTTATACTCAAGCACAAAAACTGTGAACGTTCATCCTGGGCTAGCGTTTCAGCTTGAGCAACCAAATATTTCCAAACAGCTGAGAAAAAGAACTCTGATCCCAGAAGGTCATCACTTTCACTAGCCTAATACAAGTTAAAACAGACAGTTACAGAGTGGGAATTTGCTGTTTTGTTTGGTCAATATTGGATCAGTGATGGTTGAGTTGCCCAATGAGGGTCTAGGGAATAAGTAACAAGGTTTTTTATAAACAGCTGCTAATACATCCAAGACTTTGAGCCATGATTTTGGATTCGATATTGTAAACAGAAGTATGTTGATCTGATAAAGACAAACGGGTTACGTGCTTGACGAAGCATACAACTATTGTATTCCTTCAGAATTACTTTTTTGAATCACAGATCTTATTTTATACATAATTGAAAAATATGCTCTATATCAGGGTTCCTCAAATCTTACCCTGGAGGGCCAATGCGCTGCAGAGTTTAGCTCCAACCCTGATCAAACTTACCTACCTGTGATTTTCTAATGATCCTGAAGACATTGATTAGCTTACTCAGGTGTGTTTGATTAGGGTTAGAGCTAAACTCTGAAGGAACGTGGATCTCGTGGGCCAGATTTGAGGATCCCTGCTCTATATGAACTGATCCCTGCTGTAAAATAAATAAATAATAATAATGATAATACAGATTAAGATGGTTTCTGATTTAAGCTGTTTTGGTTGATCATAGAACTGGTTTTAGAGGGGTTTAGGCAGGTAGGCATTGGAAACAAACCATCAACAATAATAGCAGGAATTAATATGGTAAACTGTTTTATTTTGATTTCCTTTTTAAAAAAATGTCATATTATTGTTGATATTTAGGCAGATTTCCTTACATAACACTTTGCAGAGCGTTTATCATTTCTCTTAATTATATTCAGAACAAAATTGCCTCCCCTGAATTTTTTCTTGGCGGAAACTGTGGTTACCATGGTAATAAGACACAGATAGCAAAATAAATAAATAAATAAATATATATATATATATATATATTTGACCGTTTTGGTCATTTGCAAGCGGAAGTTTTACTCTGACACTTCCCGGAAGTTCTCCCCAAACTGTTTTCGCTGCCAGAGGGGGATTTGAGTGCGAAAATGGCGACGTCTCGTCGCACTTCCCAGCAGCAACAACAACAACAAAACTTATCCTCCCCACCAAGACCCGACCCCAGTCCCCTCACGCCTCCAGAATCACCCACAGACACCGGCGGCTCTGTGGCTGGTGCGGAGCCGGAAAGCATCGGGGATCCGGAGATCACTGCAGAAATCTCTGCTCCGCTCCTCAGCAGCAGCAGCAGCTCCAGCTCGAGCAGCACTAGCTCGTCTACCACCGGCGGGGGCAGTAGTGCGGACTCCACTCCCGACTCCGGTAGTGCCAGTCCTGGAGGCAGAGTCTGCGGGACGAGTGGGGCTTTCAGGGAGCTATTTGAGGCCTGCAGGAATGGGGACGTGTCTCGGGTAAAGAGGCTGGTGGATTCGGTCAATGTAAACGCAAAGGACATGGCCGGGCGCAAGTCCACCCCGCTTCACTTCGCTGCAGGTAACTTTAAATACATAAATAAGTGTTTGCGATCAGTCTCGACCTGGAAAGCA